TGCTTTTAATTTACGGAAAAGGGCCTAAAATACCTTCGAAGTATTGAAAATGGTACACAATTACCCCACATCCACCTATTGGCCCCCAAATACCCTTCACATCCACCTTTGGGTCCAAATTTACCCCTTCATTAACGGACCAAAATTAAAAATAAATAAATAATATTTTTTAATGATGTGGCACTCAACCATTGGTTGTAATTTTGATTATTTAAAAACCCACCCATTTAACTAAACCCACCCCACTTGACCCAATTTAAAAAAAAACATCTAATTAAAATACCCTAAAACCTTATTCCTCTAATTTTCACAACTTCCATCGACTCCATTGTCTTCTTCATCCTGCAACTTTCACCGTGAGTCGCAACATGTAGTTGATAGAAGCCCTCAGTTCATGTTCCATGTCCATCACCTAAAAAAACCCAGATATATTGAAGTTCAAATGGTGTCATCGATTGGCTATGAAGGTAAAGTGAAGCATATTTAAAGCATACCGTACTAGGCTGATTCAAAAGTTTAATTCTTCTAGCTTCTTGAACCTCTTCCAACAGTACCTCCACTTCCTGGCAAAGACAAGTGTTAGTTCCATTGGGGAAATGAAACCTTTATCCTTTCATGAAAATCAAATTGTAGCTGTATGTAATTATCATAATCAACTTGTCAAGAAAAATGAAACCATAATTTGGAAATCTAAAGCAGCAAAGTAACTTCAGATGCTTTTGTAGTTCTCTACAAATTGTTTCAGTCGAGATTGTGAATGCATACGGTTAAAGTTGCAGGATGAAGAAGAAGAAAATGACAATGGAGTCGATGGAAGTTTTGAAAATCGGAAGAATAAGATTTTAGGATATTTTATTTAAATGGTTTTTTAAAAAAAAATTGGGTCAAGTGGGGCGGGTTTAGTTAAAATGGGTGGGTTTAAAAATTTTTTTAAACAATTAAATTACAACCAATGGTTGAGTGCCACGTAATTAAAAATTATTATTTAATTATTTTCAATTTTGGTCCGTTAATGAAGGGGTAAGTTTGGACCTAAAGGTGGATGTGAAGGATATTTGGGGGCCAATAGGTGGATGGAGGGTAATTGTGTACCATTTTCAATACTTCGAGGGTATTTTAGGCCCTTTTTCGCGTTTAATTTATTCTTACTTTACTTTCCACTTTTCATTCATTTTGTTAGGTTGATTGATGCGAGGTTAAAAATATATATATTTCTATCAGTATTGGCTTCTCATTTATTATCTATATTTGTCTTTTTTTAACATGAATATTTTATAAATTGTGCTAAATAATGTGTTTTATTTGTAGGAGTCAATTTGTGCAAAGTTGAAAAAGTTTAGAGCTAAAATAAATTAAAGATGAAAGATTATAGAAGAAAATCAAGCAGACAACTTAATAAATTAAATTGAATATAATAATATACAAGGAATAAAGGGCAGGTGAAATTGCACAAATTTGCGACGTGAAGTTGTTACCATGTGGCACTCAAGGAAAGCCACAAGAAATTAAAGTGAGGCGGCTGGGCGACAACCACTGTTCACGCAGAATTCAATTTCATTTGGGTTTTGTTTTTTCAATTTATTTTGGACTCAATGATTTTATTTAGGATTTCTTACATTTATAAATAGTCCATAAAAATAATTATTAGAGGGGGAGGAGATCAATTAGGAGGTACTTTGCAAAAAAAGTTATCAATACTTTTTAAGGTTCTTTTCTTCTTTTTCTTTTCTAAGAGAATAGTGGCTAAACGCGCTTGTTCTGGGACTGTAGCTACGAATCGAATGTTGAATATGTAAGGTTTATGAATTAATTGTTGGGACAATAAGTTACTTTTATATTCTTGTTTTAGTATTTCTTGACTGGCATCTAGAGATAAATATATTGTCTAATCGTAAAATTGAGAGAGGATGGGTTAGATAGACCAGAGAATACATAGAGCTCGCTCAATTCATTTAGTTGAGGTGATTTCTGTTCAAGAGTGACGCCCCGACGGACAACTTTCTCGCTCAACATGTAGTTAGACACTAACTGGAGTAGGCAACTAGAAGTTTGATACCCGACTCATACAATTAAACTTTTAAACCAGTAACTTGACAACTAAAATTAGTTCAAAGCCAAGGATATGATACATGATATCCAATGCATTTTTCAGCCCTTGAATATTCCATCCTTTGTAAGTGATTTTATTATTTTATTCCTGCATTCTTTTGTTTTTGCACTCTTAAATAAATAATTAGACTAGTATAAATTTAATAAAAATAGTAAATTGACAAGTCCTTTGGATTTGATAATCTGGTTCTTTTAAGAGTCATTATATTACTTGTATGTGCAATTGGTAGCAACAAATTTTTCTGACTTGTTTTGGTGGGAAAAGAAAAGTGTCATCATGTCCATATTTAGGTCGTGAAAAATGTATCATAGCCTCGGATTCATAGGTCTCACATGGGTACAAACGAAGTCTAATTAGAGTCTTGAGGATAGGTACATAGACGTCTGTACTTATCTTCGAGAGGTTCAAGAACTTGTAGAAAATCTATTTGGTTCATTCTTTCTTATTGTGTTTGGTTACCTTTGCTAGTGTTGTGTTACCGCATATCGTTTTGGCGGATGCCAAAGATCAGAGCTTTTGTTTCTTGTGGTAGATGAGAGGTAGTTCTTGAGGAAGTTGTTGAGACCCCAACTAGGGTTAGAAGTAGGGCCCGAGCTATAGGTCATGCTCGTGGAGAAGCACCGATTAAAAGGTCATGCTCGTGGAGCGACACCAACTAGAGTAAAGTTAGAGAGGTTTCTCCTAAGCCACATATTGAGTATGTTGAGGAGAAAACCAGGTTCTTTTTAAGTTAGGATCTTATTTGTTTTAGGAGACTATGTTGAGGATGGTCGACCAGGTGGATAATTTTTCACAAATTGATGGGACAAGTACGCCATAAAGTTCTCAGGCGAGGATAGGGATGGCTCTAGGTCAACAGTACGTTATGGACATTCATTATTAGGTGGGTCATCCAGTAGTGGTTTCTGTACCTACTGGTGGTGCACAAATTGCTTCTGAAGTCATTCTGACAACAGTGAATCGACATTGTTATTAGAGGTTTTAGAAGATGAAAGAACCTTAATTTCAGAATGGTATGAGCGAAGATGCTCATAAGTTCTTGATTTTGTGCCATAAGATCCTTGAGGTAGTAGTTATGGTGGATGCTCGCGTTGTTCATTTTGTTGCTCTTCAGGTGGACCTACCAAAGTGTGCTAAAGGACTTAGTGAGGTCTATACCAATTTGATCTCCTTAGGAGGAGTGGGATACATTCTCCAATACTTTCCACGATTGTTTCATCCCTTGGAGCATGGGAGGTTAGCGCGGAGTAAGGTTTGAGGGCTTGACACATGGAAGTTTGTGAGTGAGTATGTGGCTCGTTTTCATGAGTTATCCAAGCACGTAATGACTATTATTTCGATGAGTAAGAGAGAGTTTCAATATTTGTGAAAGGGTTAAATTTCTCAAGGCAGTGTTGATGGTTAGGGAAGAGTTAGGGGACCCCGAGAGGTTTCGGTCATCTGATTAGTTTTTGGTGTCTCTTTTGGAGTCATTCACATAAAGTTAGCAGATCCTTTCAGCATCGGTGACGCATCTATGCCACCAGTTTAGAGAGGCAATACATCCAAAAGATCTTATTGTTCTGATTGAGGTTGCCATGGTAGCTTATCTAGTTTAGAGTAGTAGTTATCCGTGTCGAGGCTTGTTATGGGTGTAGGGATCCAGGTCATCTGGTTTAGTAGTGTCCTTTGTAGACTCACGCAGGGCCCAAGCATACTCATTTAACTACTCCAGATAGAGATTCATGCCAGGGGTCGAGGGAGAGGTCAAGTGTAATAAAGGTGGCAAGATATCTGATAGAGGTAGAGCTGTCAATTTGGACTTGGCCCGGTAAACCTGCCCAACCCAACCCTTGAATTAAATGGGGCTGGGATCAAATTTTTCATCCCATTTAGGAACGAGACTTTTTAGCTTAGCTTTATTTGGCCTGCTAGCCTCTTAGGAACCGCAAGCCTTAAAGGTCAGTCTATGGGCTGTGAATTTTAAGAAAAATTACAGAAATATACACATTTTGTTTCACTTATTTCCATTATCCCCTATTACTTTAAAAATTTCCAAAATTTCTTATTTTATTTAATGCATTCGAGCGACATATAATGTATCCGAGCCAGTATTTAATGTATCTAAGCTACATATTATGCATCTGAATTAGTTTTTAATGTATCCGAACTACATATTAATATATCTGATCTTCAATTATTGTATTTTAAAACTATGAATATTGAGACTAATGGACCTACCATAGATAGAATTTGTTAGTGTATATTTCAACAATATGGGTTTACCTATAATCGAGCGCAAAATTTAACATCACCACTTGATAAAGTGAGTCAAGTCGTTAGTTCTCATCAATATAAACCCCATCCGCCAATATGACATTTTCAGATTCTTTCAAATAAGGTTCACTCGTTAGCCATTTACTTTAAACTTGGATCAATTTATGTATTCGAGTTCAATGGGTCCATGGGGGAACATTGTATCACTTGAAGAGGACCTGACCACTTTGATAAGAGTTACCCAAGAAACAATCTGAGTCTTGATTCAAACAACAATGCCTAATCACCTGGTTTAAATTCTCATTTTTGTGTATGTTTATCATGGGAGTGCTTCCTTCTTACTTTGTACAATGTTGAACTCTCATATGCTCGCAATATAAATTCATTAAGTTCATTCATTTGTTTCATCCCTAAATTTCATGCATTCCCCCAAACTTCAAGTTCAACTTTTTCGATACTCGTAATGCCTTATGTTCAAGATCAATTAGTAAATGACATATATTGTCAAAAACAATTTGACAGGGGTACACATATAGGTGTTTTGAATGTAGTTATATTTGCCCACAACGCATCATGAAGCCTTTTACCAAAGTACTGCCCTCAACACATCATGAAGCCTTTTACCATAGTACTCCAACCATCCTAATTACATGGATGTTCTTTATATCTCTATTTGAAACTTTCACTTATCCACTTACTTGAAGGTGATAGGGTGTAGAAACTTTATGCTTTACTCTATACTTTTGAAGTACTTAATAGTCGGTTGCAGATAGTTTAATCCTCCATCACTACTGATTCCTCTTGCTATTTCAAACATGCAAAAAAAAAATCTTTAAGAAAATAGTGACATTTTACACATTGTTGGGAAATACAACCACCTCTTTTCATTTTTTTACTAAAATATATCTATTTTCAAAGAAACTAGAGAAAGACCCTATAAGTCGATGTTCCATATATCAAACAATTCTATTTCTATGATATGTGTGAGGGGTAATTCATATTTTCTCTATATTTACTCAAACCCTCTGGCATTGATGAAATATTTTCATGAACTCATGTGCATCTTGATAATTATTGTCCAATAGAAGCCACTTTGTAGTACTTCGTGCGCAGTTCGTATAATCTCGTGATGTCTTTCCATGGGAGAAGAGTGACATGCCTCTATAGTTGGCATCATTTGTCATGAGCAGGGTCTACACCCTTGAGGTGGACGAAATTCCAGGACTATTGTTGGCCCTCAAGTGAATCCTCGTCCTAGGTTACTACTAGTGGAAGTTTAACTCAAGCACATATGAACATTGAATTGAAAGAAACATTTTAAAATAGTTTACGAAATTTCAAAACTTTGTAGAATATACTGAATATGAAACATAAGTTTTAAATAAGAAATTAAAAATTGAAAGACCCTCCAAAACTGACTATCTATGAAGCCTCTAGTGTATACAAAGATGAGCGCTGAGACAACAACCATGACTCCTCAAGAGAACTACTAGTAATAACTCAAAAAATTAGAGTCCTCCAGAAGCAGGAAAGTCTTACTCAAAAGCTGACGAAATGATCTCAACACACTCTTGCTGAGGATTTTAAGAACATGTATTTGCATCATCAAAAGATGTAGCTTGAATGACATCACTACATTGAATGTACGAGTATGTATTATAGATGAATAACAAATAAATGACAAAAGGACTAAAAAAAAGACAATAACGTACTCAAGATGAATGTAGAGCAATAAACGAGTTAAATCACTTAAGTTTTTACAAAATACTTTATCATCTATTAAGTCAATATAATAAGAGATATATAAACATACACTTTAACTCTATTGGGAGATTCTAATCATTGACAACCATCACTATAAGATATATGATGATACAACGTCTCACCCAAGCTGGCAGAACTGTCTTATACCTTGTCGGGATATAGAACACCTCAACTAAGTGGATCAACTAAGCTCTGCCCGTAGGCACTAACTATTCATCTAAAAAGTATGATCATCTACCAATGTTGGCATAAGAAATGTGAGTTGTCCGAACTCATTCCTATGTCGATGCTTAATACTACTCCCAATAATATATACACAATGCTCAATTTTTAAAAAAACACTCTTACTCTAATTTGAGATAATTTCTTAAACCATCCTCTTAAAAGAGGTTACTTCTCTTGAAATATCTTTGAACTCATAATTCATTTAGGAATCATAGTTTCTTTTTTATCAATGTAAAAACTTTGGGAATACTTAGTTTCATTATACTCTTATTCAATTCATATTTTAAAATTCTTTCTCAAAAATATAAAAAAATCATATTGTGATATGATCATTAATGACTCGGAAAGTCATACTGCATAAACAATGATGACATAACTAGATATTATACTACTTAAAAATTGATTACATAACTAGATAGGATACTGCTTAAACATTGATGACATACTCAATTGTTATACTAATCATGTTTTAGAAATTCTTTCTCAAAACTTATCTTTACTTCCTCAAAAACTTAGTTTAAACTCAAGTGTTGGCTTTAAAAATCTTCTCAAGATTTATAACTCAATTAATAGGGTTCATGCAAAATTATGGACAAGAGTGACTCATCTCAGTAATCTTAATAGCAATATGAAAACTCAGTACTCAAAACTTAAGAACTCAGAACTCAATGATACAACTGATCTAAAGCCACTCAATTCATATGTTTTATGTTGAAATTTAGATGTGAACAAATCAACTCAAGAATCTTTATGCATAATATATAGAAATTCAATAATTAAGAATAGATTTTTAAAAAGAATAAGGAACTCAAATCTCATCTCAAGAATACTCATATCTAGGGAGAGAATTCGAGATTACTCTTTTACTATTTGAAATTAAAAGTAGGGCGTGAGGAGAGACTAGTCCAACATTATGATAGCTTTACATACCTGGAAGAATAAGGTTCTTGAAGAATCTTGAATAAGAACTTGGTTAGAAGCGTGAAAACCCTAACTTGAAGGTAAACAATCAAGAAAACCTTTCTTGAGATTCTTGAATTAGTTTCTTGAGATCTCTATGACCAATAATTGTGATTTTCATTAGTGATTCATAACTGTATTGATAAATTTGAGTCGTAAAGAATGAAATTCTTGGAAAAAGACTTACTTGAAGAAAATCTCGAATGGAGTCTTCTACTTTGATTTTTCCTTATGGTTTTGCTCTATGATTTGAGAGAGAAGAGAATGATGAATTAAGAGATAAAAATCTGATTATTTTGGATCTATAATTAGTCAACAATTTCGTTTAGGATTTTCTTAGAGGTAAAAAGACAAAAAAGACTCTTTTTAATATTTTTTCTTTGGCTAATTTGTCACTACATTGTATCAGGTAACTAAAATGATCATAAATATTTACTCAAAACTCAGATTTTATTGCAAAATTGGTGGTGTTAGAAAGAAGATTCAAATAATTTTAATTTAATATGTTATAGACCACGTAACTCTTTATATACTAAGAGATATGATTGTTTGAAGTTGATCAAAGAAAAATCTCGTAGTGAAACTCAATTGGAAAGAAAGTTTTCAACTCAACTTTATGCTATGGAATTTTAGTGATCTTAACATTTAAGAAAATTTAGAACCACTTGGTGAAATCTTATTCACAAATAAAAAATAACTCGAATCTTATCTTAATAAATTTTAGGATGTTACATCATTTCAACTTTTGGGATGCATTTACGAATAATATTATTTACACATACTCTGAATAAATATGATTCGACCTAATAAAATATTTTCACATTATATAGGATTTTTTATTTATATGATAGTTGAGGTTAGAAGGTGTCTTGTCACGATAAAAAAGTTAACAAAGTCTGCCAGCCAAGAAATCATGGGAAGCTTCTAGTATAGATACAAAAAAATAGGTTCATTTGCGGAGGTTTATTTGTGGGGTTTTTTTAAAAACTTCACTATAAAATCATTTTGTAACATTTATTTTAATCCTTGCGATATAATTTATTTTGTGAAGGTTTTACTGTTAAGACTTATGATAATCTCCGCAAATTGCACTAATTTGTGAGATTTTGTGAACGCCGCAATTATTAAAATTTGTAGCGATTTTATTGTGGAGATTTGTTATAACCTCTACAAATTACATGAAAATGTGAAGCTTTGTAAATGCCACAATTCATTACAATTTGTTACACTTGTACAAAATAGAAAATAAATCAAAAAACTTGAAATATAGAAAATATTTTAGAAAATAAGGTAATCATGGAAAGTAGAAATACAACTCATTATATGCATTGCATGTTTAATTAGCACGAGAAGAGCAAATTAAGTTGTAAATTGAATTGTTGTATAAAAGTACAAACAATTTAGATATTTAGGTTCATTCTTTCAAGAAAATAAAATAATAGATAAAAATGTTATTCCTATAATATGTAATTGAATGGTTAAAAGAAAAAATTTATTGAGGTCTTATGTGATATATATATATATATACACACACACACACATACACTAAAGTAAAAGGTAATTTATATGATGACAATGATATGATAATGAGTACTAGGTCAGTAAAGTTTAATATATTTTCATGAGATAAATATTTCAAAGAAGTGGATGTTGGACGTGCAGTCATACAAGATTAGGTAAAATTAAAAAATAACAACCTTCACTATGAGGTACTAGTAGCACGTTTTGACTTTAAAATGAGAAATCATTTGAAATGATTTAGGTATCATTTATTTTTAATAAAAATAAGATATTTAAATTTGAATATAATAAGTTGTGCATTTAAATTTTAATATTGACTTTAAATACATGTTTTAAAATGATAGGATGTTCTATTGAGACGCAATTACTGTATAGTTAAGATTATTTTTACAAGTATAAATTTTTCTTTTTCTAAAAATTTATGAATATAAATTTATTAAATTGTGAAATTTATCTAATACTAGATAAACAAAAATATTATTATGTTATAAGAATATATAGTGTTGTTGCGATGAAAGAAAATATGAAATAAAAATAATAAATTCACTATATTAACTTTTTTCAATTTGTTTGATGTGATCACTTGTTAAAGTTTTAAACTTTAAGTTATCAAACATAATTACTAATTGTGTCAATTTGTCATGAACTAAGATTTATGTTGTTTTATAACTTGAGTATTTTAAATGTAGTCTATGTTATAAATGACAGAACTCAAGTTTCTTAATGACGAGAGAGTTAGTCTGATGGTAAGCATCCCTCACTCCCAACCCAAAGGTTGCGAGTTTGAGTCACAAAGGGAGCAAAAGGGGTAGGAGTTGGATGCAAGTTCGAGTCACTAATGGAGCAAAAGGGGTGGGAACTCCTAGGGAGGGTAAAAAATAAAAATAAAAAATGGTGAAAACCATTTTAAAAGAATTAAATAAGATATTGAGATTATATTTTGCGGGTTATCAACCCTTTGTATAGCGTAGTTATTAAAGTTCTAAAATCATTTTTAAGGGGTTACTAATTATCACAAATTGATTTTAAGAACCACCACAAATTGAAACTTTATTTTGTGGCGAACGTAATGAAGGTTCTATTAAACCGTCACAAATATGCTTGTGGCATAAGTAATTGTGGCAGTTTCTAAAACCGCTTCAATTAATTTTGTGTGGATCAAAAACTCCCACAGATCGATATAAATTCCTCCACAAAATAACCCTTTTTTTTGTAGTATCCTTCATCTTCTAATTAGGACAAGTGATCGACAATTTAATTTTTACACCCTCATTGTTCTTTTAATCCTAAAGTTAAACTCTTGCGATAGTAACACCCATAGCATTAACTCAGGCTTTACATATATTTTTTTGTCATTATATATCGAAGTGTGACATAGTTAGTGTAGGTTAATGTACTATTTACCAGCTTTGCTTCTATGCTATTCCAAGTCTTAATCATCCTTTCAAACATATCACTAGTCTCCTCCAATGTGGTCCATTAGCGAACTCTCTACGATATTATTGACCACAAAATTGTTGACTACATTTAACAATTTATACAAGCTCTGCTGCAACATCTCATTTTGTAGCTTGTGATGCAGACATTACCTTCTTTTGAATCTCAACCAAGTTTATGGAGCGATTCAATGGGGACTTGTTTGAATTTGCTGATCTTATCCCTAAATATAAGTAAATACCCTCTCCCAGAGTTCCCCTATAAGTTCAGTCTAGGTAGTGATGACTCTCTAAGCCATGTAGTTGCTTCACCATTCAAAGAGAATAGAAACAATCTCAGTCTTATTTCTTTTTGAGAGATATCTAGGAGATTGTAAGGTAGACATACCTTTGCAAAGTCTTTAAATGTTTATTGAGGTCTTCAAGAGTTTAAACCGTAGAATAAACCCTATAAATACAACATCGTGCTGGTGATGTTGAATGCAATGTTTCCAACCAGTGGTGGGGGTTTAATGATCCCGTTGTAATATAGTGATAGCTTCCAACTCATAGTCGTATGAGATCAACGAAAAGTCTCCAAGACCTGACTTAAGGGTTTTTGGCAACATGACTATGGAATCAAGGTTTGAACTAAGAATATATATATGAGAATCACATGAGAAAGTCTTTAGAAGTAGAGGTGTACAACCTCATATTCCTTTCAAGAGAAAACTTCAAATTCACCCTACTAGTTTTTTATGTTGTCTCTTTCACTAACAAAAGGTAGAGTCAACATATAGTAGTACTATGCACCAAATGCATAGTGATGTAGCAACTATGAGACAAATGATAATGCTGACTCCACAACCATAAATCATATATAAACTTTGATGGATCTAATCTCATCGTCACTAGGTCAAAGAATGAAAGACATCTTGGAAATTGCAACAATAACATTAAGTATAGAGAGAGTCCAACCATATGATTCTCCGACTACAAATGAGGAAACAAGTAAAAGACAAGATCAACATATTAATCTTGAACCTAGAGAGGGCAAACATGAAAAATAACAGAATAAAACATCTCATCGAGCAAGAAGAAAAAAAATATTACCAAGCAAGGACGCTTCAATAGTCCCTCTTCCAAGGCTAAAATGTCCTCCTCCATTCCTTCAAAGGATGATGAAGAAGCAACTATCAATTAATATTTCAATAGTCGAGGCTATGAAACAAATGCTAAGACATGACAAATTTATGAAAAACTTGTTCACAAAGAAAAAGAAGTAAGCGGAGACACAATCGAAGGTATGTATGTATGTACACATTATTGTAGTGTGATTAGCTTCAAATTCTCCAGTGCAAAAATGGAAGACCTAGGAGCATTTACTATTCCATGCAATGCACCATCTATTCTTAGCCCACACCCTCTTCACTTTACAATCATCAAAATGACATACATGTTCTCTTCTTTCTTATCAAAGGTTGAGGGATGAAAATAGTATTAAATACGCATAAATAATCAAGTCCTTAAAAATTTAAGACATATTCATCCTAAAGGTGGTTGACCCAATATGATTTTCATCTTTACACAAAGCTACCCCATATAATATTGAAGGTCCTCCGCAAAGAGTCTTGGCGTTTTCACCCATTATTAGCAAGTTTCTGATAGATATATACTCTAAAGTTGCACCATTTCAAGAAGAAAAAGAATATCAGATATATAGATATAAAATCAATCAATTAGTGAGAGTCAAAATGGAATAAAGCCATCTTATTAATTGCGAGTTGGCAAGTGAAGTGGGTCCACATTACATGAATAGAGACTAATAAACTGAAGTAGGGTAGGCAATTGATTAATATTTGTGGGTATGGTTTATTTATTTTTTATTTAGACGTAGACAAAGCCTTCATTTAATCATGACATGTGAAGTGAAGATAAAGACAAAGAATGGTGATTGGAGGGGTGAGGGACGTAAGCAATGTTTGCTTGTGCTAGAAAAAAACACGTAAATTGATGAGGTTTAATGTGGACACTTTCTCTTATCTACTATTTCTCACATCATCCTCACTCGTCACCATCCTCTTTCCTTTCTGTCTTTTGTTTTTTCAAGTCTATGAAATTTACTTCCTTTAATAATATTTCATTCGTTTTAAAATAATGTCTCTATTTCTTTTTTTTAGTTATTAAAAATGTATTCTTTATTTTTTTAATTAATATTTTAATTTTAATTTTTCACGTGACATATTTTTTTTCTTTTCGTAAATGTCATTTCAAATCATTCTTTTTAAAACGAAGAAAATAATTATTTACTATATTATATTAAAATATTTGATAATATTTGTCAATTTTATTAAATCAATAAATAATTCTATAATTATTAATTATAGAAATTTTTCTATTATATTTTTCAAGACATTATATTATTATATTCAAAAGGTGACATAGTTAAATAATTCTTTATTTATATTTTCTTAAGAAATACGTAAAGTTAATAATGGACAAATATTATTAAATAAAGGGAGTACTTTTTAATTTAACATGATATTTGAAAAGAAAATTATGATTTAAAACAATGTTTAAATATTTATATGACGTAAATTATTTATTAAAAGTAAAATAATTTTGAAATCAAATTATTTTTAATTGTAAAACATAATATTTTGAACTAAAAATTTTTTTATGTCAAAGGGACAAAAGGAGTATTAAATTGCTCCTAGAAACTTCAACTAACTTTATCTGACGTTTCGACAATTGCAAAACTAAATATGCAAGTTGAAATGGTATTCGCATCGGATATGAATTTTTAACAAAAGAAAAATCATTTCTATAAAATTGAAAATTAAAATTTATTTTAGGAATAAGTGATAAGCATAACTTAATATTTTTGAAAAATATAAAACCTTTAAGTAAATTGATTTTTGAAATATTATATTATTTAATTATTATTTTCTTAGAAAATAGGGGAAGGAGTAATAATAATCAAAAGTGATTGTTGCTTACATTTCCAAGAGCTCCCTTTGTTCTTCCATTTGACTTTTCTGTAGCAAAACAAACAAGACTTGTTTTCACATAGAGAAGAATGGCAAACTTTGTGTTTTTTGTTTTACAATACCTCCATTTCCATTGCTTCCTCCTCTTCTTCTCTGTCCCTTTTCCTCCCCCAATTCATCATATAATTCCTAACTAGCTAACAACCCCTTGTTCAATTTCTTTTCTCTCCCCAAATTCAATGGCTCTTTCTTCCAAATGATCCCTCTATTCCATTCCCCCTTTCTCCCATGAACGTATGCTCTAATGGATAGTAGAACTGCTTTTTCGGATTCCAATGATATTAGTGGAAGCAGTAGTATATGCTGCATGAACGAATCGGAAACTTCACTGGCAGACGTCAATTCCCTCAAACGTCTATCAGAAACACTAGAGTCTATCTTCGATGCGTCTGCGCCGGATTTCGACTTCTTCGCTGATGCTAAGCTTCTGGCTCCAGGCGGTAAGGAAATTCCGGTGCATCGGTGCATTTTGTCGGCGAGGAGTCCTTTTTTTAAGAATGTATTCTGTGGGAAAGATAGCAACACGAAGCTGGAACTCAAAGAGCTGATGAAAGAGTATGAGGTGAGTTTTGATGCCGTGGTCAGTGTGCTCGCCTATTTGTATAGTGGAAAAGTTAGGCCTGCATCTAAAGATGTGTGTGTTTGTGTGGACAATGAGTGCTTGCATGTAGCTTGTAGGCCAGCTGTGGCCTTCATGGTTCAGGTTTTGTACGCATCCTTTACCTTTCAGATCTCTCAATTGGTCGACAAGTTTCAGGTGAACTGTCAAAAACCCTACAATATCAATTGTTCTTCTTGTTAATAGAATTGCAACTTTATAAGTTAGTCAGCTGTATTACTAATGCCCTCAACTTAATGTCCTTGCAAAATCTTTCTTGATTTACTTATGTTTGCCTTTATTTTTCTGAGTGAAATAGTGAGAATTTATTAAGTTGCTTATGGAATTTTGAGTATCTCTGAGAGTCACTTGTGAGCATGTTTTAATTTTAAATAATTGGTATGATCTAAATGTGCCCTTTTTTTCTTGTACTTCATTCTTAGTTAAGTCCACTTGCTTTTGAGATATTTTAGGACTTTTTTCGACTACTTCATTTCATGTAATTTCAGGTTCACTCCATTCTGGTTTTAACTTCTATAATTATCATAGTGTCACATTTATGACTTGAGCATTTGGAGGTCTATGTAGGAAATGATCAAACCTACTCAAGTGATGTCTCACAACTTTCCCTTCATGTGGGTACTCATGATCCTTGCCAGAAAATATTGAGAGTCTAGATACTGCAAAAGTATAGCTTTATTCATTGCGTTTGTACAATATTTATAAGAGAACAAGTTAGCTCAAATAAATTAATCAATTCTTAATTATTAGGAATTCTTGAATCAAAGGATTTCCTCTTAACTATTTTCCTAGAATAATATATTCAATTCCATATTTACAAGAGCAGATTATAACCAAATCTGCCAGCTTATTTGTGGAGCAAATTACAATCAAATCTGTTAGCTCATTGATGGACCAGATTGTGACTAAATCTGCCTATATATTCGACACTACCCCGCAAGTTGGCATGTAAATACTGAACATGCCTAACTTGCTCACAAGGACTCAAAAATAGTCCTGAAAAGACCTTTTGTGAAAATAACTGCAACTATGTCCACTTCAACATGCTTTATTGTCCGCCTTCATTTTCACAATACTACTTCAATGGAAAACTCATATGCCTTCTTAGTTCTTCCAAAAATCTCACGAGCCACAACATTTCACAAATTTTGTGTGTCATGGATCGATACTCAGCCTCAACACTACTTCGAGCTGCCACATTTTGATTCATACTTCTCCATGCCACTAAATTTCCCCAAACAAAGGTACAATATCCAGACGTAGACCTTCTATCAATAAATGAACCAACCCAATCTACATTCGTATAAGCCTCAATACTTCCTTGCTCATTCTTTTTAAATAACAATCCTTTTCAGGAGAGCTCTATAGATACCTTAAGATTCGATACACATCTTCTTGCTGTTCTTCTCCTGGAGCATGCATGAACTGACTTACTAGTCTCAGATCAAAGGAAATATCGGGTCTAGTATGTGACAAGTAAATAAACTTACCCTACCAATCTCTGATCTGACCCCTATCAATCAATTTTCCTTCCTTTACGAACTTTAGATTTAGATCAATTGGAGTTTTAGTTGGTCTACAACCACTCATTCTTGTTTCTTTTAGCAGATCAAGAACATACTTCCTTTGTTACACTATAATATTCCTTTATTTGATTTGTGCAACTTTCATGCCGAGAAAGTACTTTAGCAGGCCGAAGTCCTGTATCAAAGAATCTGAGCCAAGATGTTCATATATATATATATATACACACACACACACACACACACATCATCTTCTTTGAGGAATATATCATTGACATACACTAGAAGAATTGTTGTTTTTTGTTCTAGTGAATGTCAAGTAAACATTGTGTGATATGCTTGTCCTTGCACATATCCTTGCTTCTTCACAATTGAGTAAATTTTTCGAACAAAGTCCTTTGAGATAATTTTAGACTATAAAGAGATCTTCTAAGCTTGCATATCTTTGACTTGTACTTCCCTTCAAAAGTTTGAAGAGGGGTCCATATAGACTTCTTCCTCTAGGTACTTTTTAAGAAAGCATTCTTCACATCCAACTATTGAAGAGACCTGTCAAGATTTACTACGATTGTCAACTAAACTCTAATTGAGTTTAGCATAGCTACTGGAGCAAACTTCTCAAGATAGTCAATGACATATGTTTGCGTGAATCCCTTAGCTACTAGGCAAGCCTTATACCTTGCTAAGGATCTATTCGATTTGAATTTGGTGGTGAACACCCATTTACAACCACGAACTCCCACGTCTTTTTTTTTCAAGAGCTCAAAATTCCTCCAAAATAGCCTCCTTATGGCTTCCACTCGGGAACTCGTAGGGCATCCTGCACATTTTTTGGAATCTCCACACTAGAAAGTTGTGAAGTAAGGGCTGAATAACTAGGAGACAACTTTTTATTGGACAATAACATAGAAACAAAATAATTAGGAGCATTTCTAACACCTTGTGTTTTTCTATAGGTTGGTCCAGATCTGAGGAGTTAGAAATAGAATTGATTGGAAGATTACCTGAATACCAATAAGGTCTTGCGGAACTGACTTTTGGTAGTGTTGAAAATCTCCAATCTTTTTTCCTTGAGTTCAGTTCCTTTTCGAGTACACCTATATTTCTTTTGTTGTTCTTTATTCCCCATTTTTATTTTTCATTTGAAGGCTCTACAAGTTCAATTTATGAGTTCTTATCATTTAAGTGACTTAGGTCCCTACCATCTCTTGGATCACACTTATTTATATCTTTTCCTAGACCCCTCACATCAGAATTTTTTGTAATATCAGGCTCCTCATTTGCCTGATTTCTAGTTTCCTCAATATCACAAAAAGATGAATCTTCACCTATATGATGCTCCCCCTAAAGACGAGTGATAAAATAAAGTTGGGACTCAAAGAAAGTTGGATCCATTGTGACAGTTATCTTCTTAGCCTGTGGAACATAACACTTACATCCCTTTGAACTTGGGGCATATCCTACAAAAACACACTTCTTAGCCCGCGGTCAAGTTCACTACGATTATGAACATGAAAAAATGTTGTTCAATCAAAATCTTCAGAGGCAGATCTCTAGTTAACCTAGAACTAGGAAAACTCTCTCAGATAACTTTGGAAGGTGTTTTAAATTCAAGAGGAAGAGATGACATCCTATTAATAAGGTAAGTGTTATGGTCCCTTGTTAAGGATATAGTTACCAGACGTTGCAAGATAAAATTTGAGGTTTTTGTTTTTCTACCTATGGCGCTGGTTCGTTAGAGAGAACCTACAATCTCTTGAGTTTGAAGTACTCAAAGACTTAGAAATTTTCTACTTATCATTCCACTGAATACAAACAACACTAAATACAACACTAGTGGATAACCACCCATCTAAAAACAAGGTAGTAACTTCCTTGAAATGAAAAAGTGGAGGAACTGAAAACAAGGAAGTAACCACCCATCTAAAAAACAAGGAAGCAACTTCCTACTATAACTGAAAGAGATAAGTGTCAAAAACACACCTAAACTATTCATTTTTTTTGAGTTTCATACCTAAACTATTGGAAGTGTGAGTTTCATACCTAAACTATCACTTTCAATAGTTTAGGTATGAAACTCAAAAAATAAAAGGTATAGTTTAGGTGTGTTTTTGACACTTATCTCTAACTGAAATGAAAAAGTGGAGGAGTAACCTCTTTACTGCAAAAATTGCTACATAAAAATAAGAAAAATAAATAACTAAAAAGCTGTAATAAGCTATTGTAAACACTGCTATACAGGAAAAAAAAAACTTATAAGCTGAAGTAATCTAATTTCTAATTCCCTTAAATCTTCCATCTGTAAACCATTGGTGGACTAAAAAGGTGCTAACATTACTCCCCTCTTCAAATTGCGCTTGCCCACAAGCGCTAAGTACGGAAAGTGTAGTGTTTCCCTCTTTTCCAACAAATTTTTCCTCATCGTATTTAGAGTCAATCCAAAATAACTTCTTGCACGGATGACCTCGAGTGGATGGTTCATCACAGTTGAAATGATGTCTCTTAAGTCATCTTTCCTCCATTTCAGATCTGCTCTGTTTCTTCACAAATCTGACATGTTGTAGAGGTGAGAAATCTGCTGTTTTTGATTTGCAAGCATCCAACAGTTGCGAACAAATGGGTTGTTCCTTGCGTTATAAAGTCGGGATAAACTCATCGGCATAGCCAAATCTGGAGGATTATGCAACTCAACCTCAATTGCTATATAATCAGTACGACTGCTGATATAAAGTTCTATTTCTTGGGACTGCGTAAGTGTACCAGCCCGCAAAATTAATCGCTCAATTGTTTCTTGGTAATCTGCCATAGACGCGATCTGGCGCAGTTTAGCCAATTCTCCCAATTTCTGGCTTCTGATTGGTGGCCCAAAATGAAGATTACAATGACGTTTGAAGTCATCCCAACACAGTTGAGGCAGATCTGTCTCCAATTGAAAAAACCAAAGTTGTGCATTGCCCTCCAAATGAAAAGAAGCAAAGTTTAGTTGAACCTTTTCTTCTTCCAGAGTTAGTTGGTATCGAAAGAAGTGTTCACACCTGTTCAACCATCCCAAAGGGTCCTCTTGGCCACTAAATCGTGGGAAATCCAGTTTTGTATGTCGAGGAATGATGAAACTTCCACCTGTTTCTGATCCCAACCCTCCTGTCACTCTTTTTTTTACCCTTCCAACTCCAATTCTGACTGATATGTTTAGTTGAATCAGAATCGACCTTAGAATTCTCTAAATTCTTTGTGAGTGCATCCAAATGTCCAAATTGACATCACGTTCTTCGTGGAACAAGTTCACCAATTGTGCTAGTTGATGTTGAATTTGGTCTCCCATGACTCCCGTCTCTGATACCAAGTTGTCATGGTCCCTTGTTGAGGATATATTTCCGGGACGTTGCAAGATAAAATTTGAAGTTTTCTTTTTTCTACCTATGGCGCTGGTTCGTTAGAGAGAATCTGCAATCTCTTGAGTTTGAAGTACTCAAAGACTTAGTAATTTCTGCTTATCATTTCACTGAATGCAGACAACACTAAATACAACTCTAGTGGATAACCACCCATTTAAAAACAAGGAAGTAACTTCCTACTATAACTGAAATGAAAAAGCGGAGGAAAAACCTCCTTTCTGCAAAAACTGCTACATAAAAATAGGAAAAATAAATAACTAAAAAGCTGTAATAATCTACTGTAAACACTACTATACAGAAATAATAAAATTAATAACTTATTAGCTGAAGTAATCTACTTTCTACTTCCCTTTAATCTTCCATCTGTAAACCATTGGTGGACTAAATAGGTGCTAACAGTAAGTGGCAGTCAAGAAAGCCTTTCCCAAAGGTATTGTGGAACTTTACTGGTAAACATTAAAGCTCTCGTTACCTTTAAAAGCTGTCTATCCTCTCTTTTAGCAATACCATTTTGTTGAGGTGAATCCAAACAAGAGCTTTGGTGTTCTACCTCAGTTTTTCTTAAAAGAATTTGCTAAGTGTTCATTATAAAATTCACGACCTTTGGTCACTCTGAAAAATCTTGATTTTCTCATTAAATTGTGTTTCCACCATGACATAGAAAATCTTAAATACATTTTTATTGTTCCCTACACAAGGAGTGTAAGTAGAGAAAAAACAGGAACTTCAGTCATGTGGTCACTAGCTCCTAAATCTATGATCCAAGAATCTATTTGGTTGAATTGCACTAAAAAAAGCAGACGATACAATATCTGTTTCAGCAAAAAAGTAAGAAGGATTATAAGAATTTGGTGCATTTGGACGAAATTGTGGAGAATGAAGAAGTTTGTGCAGAATTTCTAGTTGTTCCCTTGTCCTTGTAAATGGAGACGTCTCTGGAGAAGGTTGCTGCCCCTGATCAAAATAGGTTTTTTGAATGGCCTGCTCACTTTGATATTGAAAGCCACGATTATCAACTCTCTTCTTCCAATTTAGTGGTTTCCCATAAATCTTCCAACATGTTTCACGGGCGTGCCAATGTTTTTTGCAATGATCTCACCATGACCTTTTGATTTTGTCATCTTTATTCTTCACTATTACAAGAGCTAAAAAGTCTATAGTAGGTTTTAGTTCAACATCTAAATCAAGTCTTGTCTTAACTTTCTTCCTAGTTTCCTCTCTCCTAATGGCAGAAAAAGTTTCACAAAGTGAGGGCAGAGGATATTTTCACAGGATTCGTGACCTTACCTCGTCAAACTCTCAGACCCAATTTAACGCTGCTAAAAATGGAAAACTCTCATTTTCTTCCCTTTTTTGCTTTCACTCTATTCACAGAACATTGTGATTCATCATTTTAACACCGGTCTAACTCCTTCCACAAAGACACCATTTCTTTATAATAAGCAGTGAATTCCTTCTCACTCTACTTAGCTTGCCATAGTTTAATTTTTAACTAAAAGTTAGCATGCTATAATTTAATTTTTAACTAAAATTTTTGAGAGGTATTTTCTACATTAGAATATGTCTCTCTAAGATTTACCGAAGGCTAGTTCATGGAATTTATTAACCAAGCAATCACGAGTGAATTCTCTAATCTCCAGGAGTTCATCTTTGGGTCTTCAACTCCCAGCTTTTACATCTCTCCGGTCAGATGTCTTATCTTTCCACGGCTATCGACTGCAAGCTTTACGGATTGTGCCCATTCTAGATAGTTCTTCCCATTAATGGATGAGAAATTGACTGGAAGGGCATGCGCGAAGCGCTGCCTCCTTGAGTCATCAGATTTTCTGTAGGAGCTTCCAGGGAAGAACTTTTGTCTTGTGTTGGAACTGTTGATGTTCCAGTAAGATGCTCTCCATGAAAGGATGGTTTGTCCATATGATATTAGGGGAAAAAGTCCCGCTATGATACCATGAAAGTTTGGATATGCAAAGTATATTTTTATTCATAGCGTTTGTACAGTATTTATAAGAGAACAAGATCGATCAAATAAACTAATCTACGCCTAATTCTTAGGAGATCCTTAAAAGAGATTTCAAACTACTTTCCTAGAATAATATATTCTATCCCATATTTATAGAGCAGATTATAATCAAATATTCTAGCTTATCTGTGGAGCAAATTGCAATCAATCTGCCAGCTCATTGATGGAGTAGATTATAACTAAATCTGTCAACTCATTGGACAATTATCATAATACTTTTGTCTAATCTTATATGATTACACATTTATCATACACCCTCATTTCTTTGACATTCATCTTCCCAGTGTGTTGAGCTTAAGAGGTCTGACTCTTAATTATATATAACACATTACTTGTCTCACAACTTCCTATAAAGCTTGGTTCCACTTTTTGGTATTTTCCTACCGCATGAAACTCAACAGTCCATTTGATTGTTCTATTTAATTTATATGTTATGTTTTCGAAATCATTTTCCTGGAAAATTAAGTCTAGATATCTGAAATGATCATTAGGCACCATTAAAACTCACATATAATCTTATTTGAGCATCATTCCTCTCAAACGGGACTAGATTTGCATTGCATATACCCTTTCTTCTACTTATTCTAAAACACTGACTATCGATATTTATTCTAAAATCTTACTATCTGAAGTGTTTCTTTGTGATTCCAACTTTTGATTTACTCATAACTTATTTAATCAACTAAAACAATATCATCTATGGCATGCATTATGAAATCTCATTCAATATGACATTTATTTGTTCATTTATAACTAGAATAAAGAAGTATTTTCTCACGGACAATCTGAGGTGTAAACACATAGATAAGAGAATTTCTTCACTCTCTCCTCCGACTATTCTTACACTTGTGAGTGCTGACTATTCTTACACTTGTGAGTGCTCCTTCACATATATCCTGTATGTCATTTATTTATTTGAAATTCATTCTTATCTTCTCAAGTACCCAACAAAGGCCTTCTTTTTGCACATTATCATATGTCTTTCTAAGTTGATAGATATGAATCATTATGTGGTGATATTCTCAGTAAATTTGTATCAATTTTCTTAGAAAAATTATAAGCTTCCTTTTTGCGTGTAATAAGTAAAAATTAGCTAAAACTAAATCACAACGGAAGACAAACTCTAGAGTATCTTCCTTTCTTTATCCCAAGTACCATAACCAAGTGGTCCTTGTCCTTGGTATACCCGCATGTCCATTCAGATCTTTCCTAATAAAGATCTATTGGCCATTTGAGATCCTTTTGACCATATGTTCTCAAAAGTGAGTTTTAGTTTTACCATCTCATTCCTTTTGCAGAGTGTGAACACTAATGGTGTTAATTGTCTTCCAGATTAGTTATTAGAGAAAACTACTATAAAAAATGACATTCCATCTTCATTAATAACAGGGTCGGTTTTAGATGGCCTTTTGTGGGAAAGAATTATGGATTGAATTGTTCTGTATGACAGCATTATTTCTTTATAGAAAAAACAGCCATGTGTGGTGAGGTACATCTACGACCGATAGCCAATTTGGCCAAGTTTCTGCAAAGCCGAAAGTGTTTTTTGTTAAAAGAGAAGTTCTTATTTTAGAGAATTGAGAGGTTTGACCAAGATTTTAGGAAAAAAGATAAGTGTATTTTGAGTAGTAGCCGGAGTTGTATTTTGAAAAGCTAAAAGACACTACTTTTCCCAAGAAGCATTTTTGGAACCATGGCCAAGCACAATTTTCTGATCTTATATTGGCAAAAATGGTTGTCACAATGATTAGCCAAACACAAAATGCTACTCTCCAAAAGTACTTTGTCGAGTCGAAAAGTTCTTCTGACAGAAACACTTCTCGACATAAGCAGATTTTTAGAAGTTTGGTCAAACAGGTTATGAATCTCCTTGTGTAAAATTGGGGAACATTATATCATTGCTCAGTTAAAATTAATAGAATTACCCTTCAGGGTGGCCCAGTGGTTTGAGCTTGGGACTTCCATGTCAGAGGTCTCATGTTCGAAACCTTTACCAGCGAAAGCAAGGGGTTTATCTTCTGGGTCGAGCTCGTCATACCAGGCTTGCCTCGGGTTACCTCTCCTATGTGGTTTGCAAGCTATTGCATAGGAGCGGGGTTTTTACCTTGTGCGGACTTAAAGAGTAGCGGCTGCGGATTTCCCTTGTCATAAAAAAAAAAGATCAATAGAAGCACACTTTGCAAAACCTTAGTCACTTTGTGATCATGCAATATATGTTATTGAAAAGTCAGTTTCTTGTGAAATTCCTTAGTTATCACTATTTATCATTTATTCATTACTTCACTACTAACTGTACTGGCGACTAATATATCTTTCCTAATGTCACATTACATGTTTCCCTCCTTTTGCAGAGACACCTATTGGATATTCTTGACAAAGCTGTAGCAGATGATGTAATGATGGTTTTATCCGTTGCAAACATTTGCGGTAAAGCATGTGAAAGATTACTTTCAAGATGCATTGATATTATTGTCAAGTCTAATGTTGATATCATAACCCTTGATAAGTCCTTGCCTCATGACATTGTAAAACAAATCACTGATTCACGTGCTGAACTTGGTCTGCAAGGGCCTGAAAGCAATGGTTTTCCTGATAAACATGTTAAGAGGATACATAGAGCATTGGACTCTGATGATGTTGAATTACTAAGGATGTTGCTTAAAGAGGGGCATACTACTCTTGATGATGCATATGCTCTCCACTATGCTGTAGCATATTGCGATGCAAAGACTACAGCAGAACTTTTAGATCTTTCACTTGCTGATGTTAATCATCAAAATCCTAGAGGACACACGGTACTTCATGTTGCTGCCATGAGGAAAGAACCTAAAATTATAGTGTCCCTTTTAACCAAAGGAGCTAGACCTTCTGATCTGACATCCGATGGCAAAAAAGCACTTCAAATTGCTAAGAGGCTCACTAGGCTTGTAGATTTTACCAAGTCTACAGAGGAAGGAAAATCTGCTCCAAAGGATCGGTTATGCATTGAGATTCTGGAGCAAGCAGAAAGAAGAGATCCACTACTAGGAGAAGCTTCATTATCTCTTGCTATGGCAGGCGATGATTTGCGTATGAAGCTGTTATACCTTGAAAATAGAGGTAGGATGTCATGTTTCTGCTTACTTCTCTTATTGTTATACTCTTGTTTCTTAAGATCCAGGCCATTGTATATGATCTTCCACTTAGTTTGCTCCTGCTCCTCTTCTGACAGCCTATCATGAGAATTTCATATTTAATAACCAGTCTTATTCGCTATGGAAGTTTTAAGTGATATTTTGATGTCTAATGGAGAACAAATCGAGGATGAGTTATACTATTATGTAATGACACATGGAGGATAACATATACTGTAGTGTCATAACATATGAAGGATGAGATGCTATAGTTTAATATTTCTCAATTACCCTATAAAATTCTTCATATAGTATGCAGGGGATGGGCGGAAACTGAAATAAACTCAAAGATATGCTTTTCTTAATCTAGAAGTAGCGTAGGATACATATCATGTTGCATGCAATCCACGATTGCGAGGTCAGTACCTATGAATCGGGGTGGTTCCTTTGTTTGATAATCTTCATCCTCTATACTCTCTCACTCTAGCTTTAGACATTTATCCATGTCACTGATAGTGCTCTTAAGGCTTAAGTCTATTTCAAGCAGCCTCTTCAGTCCAAGGACTGGGGAGGTAATGTTATGTTAAAAGTGCAGCTAATTTACCCCCACCTGCTTCAACTCCATTCTGGTATTAGGAGTGACCTTATATCCATCCATTTTTTTCTTCTTTCTTTAATTTGATTTCGGGTGACCTTATGTCTCTCTTTTACCCCTCATATGTAATAGATCTCCCAGTTTGCTATAAATTCATTTGTGATCTCGTGATGAAGAACTTTTTGCTCTCTATGTTGCATTACTCACACTCCCATCTTTTATGATTCCTAAGCCCATTCTGATGATTATCCTGATACGTTGGGATGGGTCTCTTTAATTTGCTTCCCTATATGAAGTTATTGTTAAGGACATTCTGTTTCTGTTTATTGTCCATACTTAATTTAGAAGAAATATTTGTTTCAGCTTATTGTCCATCCAACTCTCTTCGAGAATAGCATTTGTCACTGTATCATGCCCTTTCCTTCCTAGTATGCCCAAACATCCATCTCAGCGTCCTCTTCTTCACAACTTTCATCTTCTAATCGCGGGAGTCCTTGATTGGTCGACCCTCCGGCCCATACAACATAGTCGGTCTAACCACTGCTCTATAGAATTTGCCTGTACTTCCTTATCAGACAAGACTTCGGATGCAATCCTCCAGTTCATTCACCTTGCACTAATGCGATGTGTGACATCACTGTCAATCTCCCCATTTCCTCTGGATAATAAACCAAGATACTTGAAACTTCCTCTCTTTTGAATGACATGTGTATCAAGATTCACTTCCATGCCAGCCTCATGCATTACGTCATTGAACTTGCAATCCCAGTATCCTGTCTTGGTTCTGCTCAGTTTGAACCCTTTAGACTCCAAGGTGTGCCTCCAAACCTCCAACTTAGCGTAAACTCCATTCTGCGTCCCGTTAATCAGAAATGTCATCTGCAAATAGCATATGACATGACACCTCTCCTTGGATATGCCAATATTAATTCATCCATCATTAACACAAACAAGAACGGGCTAAGGGATGATCTCTAATGCAACCCCATCACACTAGGGAAATGCTCTGGGTCACCTCCTGTCGTCCTTACTTCGGTTTTGTCTCTATTACATGTCTTTGATTGCCTTAGTGCACGCCACAAGTACACCTTTAGCCTCCAAGCATCTCCACTATGTTTGAAGGTAAAATAAATTAATCTTTTTAAAGCAAAAATAGGTGATACATTTGTCAGGAAATTTTAAAGGTGCCATATGGTCTTCTCATAGTTTTAGATTTGTGACGCATGATATCCTTGACATTTTGTGATATATACAAAAATTGCTCAAGGTTAAGGCCTGAAGTGCAAGGTTATTTTTTCCTTCTAAACTAAGATAATTGCTAAAATAAGAAAAAGCAGCCGATTCACTTTCCCTTCCTTATCCTTTACTTCTTTTTATCCTTCTTTCAACAACAATGTAATCCCACAAGTGCGGTCTGGGGAGTGTAGAATGTATGCAAACCTTACGCTTGTAATTTGATATTTGTCAGAAATGAGATAATATTTTACTTAAGAACTTGTTACTTCAACTATTCTAACTTTCGCATTCTAATACTAACATTAAGCATTCTGATGCACCCCACAAACTAAAAATTGAGACCAAAATGAACTTACCAATTTTAAGACAACAACAACATACCCAATGAAATCCCTCTAGGTGGTGTCTGGGGGGCAGAATGTATGCAGACCTTACCACTACCTCATGGAGGTAGAGAGTCTATTTCTGAAAGATAAATAATGTATCTTAAAACAGAGAAAAATAAATAGTTGTTCGATAATTGTTGGAGTAGTAGCCGTCTTGTATTCATGAACTGTTTATTAAGCAATGCATCTTTGTCTATCTCATAGACACATGGTATTAGAGCTTGTACGATATCTTAATGCAGACACATGGCCTTATGATGCAAATCCAGCCAAAGTTTCTTTTACTTTTCATAACTTTACTGTTCTGGCCCTTCTGAACAGCCTCTTTAGCAGTATTACTTTTGGACCATTTGAGCACCCAACATGCATTTTAAATGACCCTTTGGTAGTATTGCACTCCTTTCATTGGTTGTTAAGATAGCATAATGTTTCTTTTTAATGACCTGCCTATTTTTGCTGATTGGGCCGATGTCATGTGCTTAAGAGAGTTGTAGGATTCGTAAAACAGGAGAAGAGCATCTCAAAGTATGGGGCAAAGGATGTCGCGTTTTGACTTTCTGGTGATTGTTCTGCTGGGTTACCTATTTCGATGGCGCTCCCTCTTTCTGGTCATTTTTCATCAAATTCAATCAGATCTCCTGATTCTTGTGATTGTTTGATATGTTTTATTAAGCTTTGATACCCTGCGCGAAATAGAGAGAAAATGTAATGTCTTGATGATATGGTAAATACAAGACACCTATTTGTAGGTGTCAGGTAGATTAAACATGATATTTGTCCTATGTGAAATGATATCTAATTTAGGAACTTTTACATTCTAAAAGTCAACACCACACTCTTCACTGTTAGTTTCTGTTACTTCTTCATTGTTATCTTCTTCTTTCTCTTCCATACCTATGAAACATAAAGAAGAGCAGATAAATGAAATTTACTTCCTCTTTAGTTCTCCTTTCAGGGTTTATCATTTCCTAATTTCTGTTGCATTAATCATATTTTTAAATGAAGGGGGGTTATCTTAGTCCTGGGGAAAGGGGGGTTGCAGGGATAATAGTTTGGAACCTTTATTGCTTGGACTCTCCAAAATTATTGTTGCACCCATGTCAAATCCCTTCCAAAATGACTACTTTTGGAGGATCCGAAGAATCCAAGCAACATTATTTGGAACTAGCCCAACTTCATTTAAAATATGTTACTCACAAGTCACAATGCTACTAGTTTGGAAGGAAAACTTAACAGTTTCACTCCGACCTTATAAAGGATATTCTTAATGTTTGCGGAAGGGGTGCTGCTTATGTTTGATACACTTAAATTAGACTTATTTTTCCTTGTTTTTTTAAAGGAAATGTTCTTTCATTTCCAAAGGAGGTCACAAAGTTGTCCTATTGATTGGTGGATGGTCATATGCCATTTGATTATGGTTAATGAACTATTTGTATTAGTGAAAAGGAAATAGTAAACCATTATGCTGAAGATTGACTAGTTGATTGTCTTTCAGTTGGTCTGGCTAAACTCCTTTTTCCCATGGAAGCAAAAGTTGCAATGGACATTGCACAAGTTGATGGCACGTCTGAATTACCCCTGGCTAGCATGAGGAAGAAGATAGCTGATGCACAGAGGACAACAGTGGATTTGAACGAGGCTCCTTTCAAGATGAAAGAGGAGCACTTGAATCGGCTTAGGGCTCTCTCTAGAACTGGTAAAGATATCTTCAGCTACATCTTACACCAAATCCTTATTCTTTATGTCTCTCGTTTTTTCTATATTGATCTGTGTACTGTTAGCATATGAAATATGAGCCTTTTCTGATTTTTATTATATTTGATTCTTTTCTTTTTACTGGGGGGTGAAGTGTGGCAGGAGGGGTATAAGAAAGCCATATTCTCCCTGTATGAGAGATATAAATGGACTAGAGCAATTTCAGGGTCAAAATTTTCTCTTCAGTGCTATTGTGTACTGACTGTAGTAAAACAAAGTCACTTTATTCTTCCCCCATCTCCTCCACCAAACTTTTTTTTTTTTTGGTACATAAAACATTTGGATTTCTGAATGTTGTGCTTTAAAGTCCTTCATGAGATACGATTATAATGCATTGTAAACTTGCAGTGGAACTTGGAAAACGGTTCTTTCCACGTTGTTCAGAAGTTCTAAATAAGATCATGGATGCTGATGACTTGTCTGAGATAGCTTACATGGGGAATGATACAGTAGAAGAGCGTCAACTGAAGAAGCAAAGGTACATGGAACTTCAAGAAATTTTGTCTAAAGCATTCACGGAGGATAAAGAAGAATTTGCTAAGACTAACATGTCCTCATCTTGTTCCTCTACATCTAAGGGAGTAGATAAGCCCAATAATCTCCCATTTAGGAAATAGATTTTGTATTAGGACATATGAGGAAGAAACACAGGACTCTCTTTCTTTTTCATCATTTGATGCATACAAAACACATGTACCATAAACTTGTATTGTGAAAAAAAGATAAAATTTCATTATTAGTTGAGAAGCAATCATTTGAAAGTGAAAAAAAACAAAATGGCCCACCTAGAAGATAAGATATGTAACAATTGTTAATAGTATTATTATTATTATTATTATGAGTTAAATGACTAATAATTGTGGATTTTGTGGCTCTAACTTAAGCTACCTCATGTATGGTTTTGACTGAAGTTTCCAGTTAATAGGTTGCCGCATTTTAAAGCCATACAGTTGTATCATTCTGGAATAGGCTAAAAGATAGGATTACAGATTATTTATAATGTCAAAAATTTGGGAACAGACACCTATCTTGTCTGCTATTACGCATTATTCTCCAAGTTACTTATAATTCATTATGCCTGAAATTCTGATGAGATGACAAGTATTCGTCATTTCAAACTCTTTGTTCCGGAGAGCACTCTAACCTCAAATTGGATTTTATGCAAATTCAAATTAATCGAATCACAAAGTGAATGTATAAGTGAGAAAAACAATAAGCAACTGAATGACAACATTATCATAATAAAATATACAACATGTATCTCTCAACCTCTTATTATACATGTTACTAACCACTTTCTTAGTGATTTCAACTTCACCAAAAGTAATTTATTCTTAATATGTTAAACTGACTAGTAAAAATAAGAAATTGTAGACAAGAATGAATAAAGAGTGTTTTAAGATAAAAATATTTATAATAAGATGAACAACTAATAAAAAAATAGACTTTTTTTTTTGAAATTTATGAAGTTGGATAAGATGAATTATCTTTGATTATACTTTTTGAAAAAGGGAGAAAACAGCACACTTCATTTGAAATTTGAAACACTCTAAAATGTAGAATCAATTTCAGATTAGGTTTGGGGAATTCAATAACCAATTACTAATTTTAGAGTAACTAAAAATTATTTGTTAAAAAATAAGCGAATAATTCACAAAAAGAATGACCAAAAATAATGCAATATGCCTAACATAAAGGTCCAATATTTTACATTTTATTGCTGTACGTGTAAAAATTCAAGTTCCTCTTGTGCCCCTGGATGGTTAAAGAAGAGGATGCGAATTTCTAAAAGATTTCAAATTCAAGTTCCACTATTTTTTGCCCAGGGATGGTTAAAGAAGAGGCTTTGAATTTCTTATTCGGAAGCCAAAATATTGAGAGCCTGTTTGAGTCAGCTTAAAAGCTGGTCAAATTGACTTAAAAGTTGGTTTTGACCTATTTAGCAGTTTGGTAATACTCAAAATAATTTATTTTAAGTTAAAAAAAACTTATATTAAGCAAAAAGTTAAAAGTTGGGATATGAGTGTTTTTTTTCCAGCTTAGGAGCTGTTTTAAGTTGACCACATTTTTACCTTTTTGCCCTTAATATTTTTATACAATCTCCAAATTACCCACATAATCCTAACATTCTTTCTTCTATTTTTTCCTTTTCACATGTGGATGATAGACAATTAATATTACTAATGAATGAAATAAAATACATCTTAAATCTTTCAAGTAATCTATTCAAATTATATAGTATTAAAATGTAAAATAAGTTGCACATATAACTTAAATAAAATTTATATTCCTCTTATAAATAATTTGTGATGATAAAAAAATATGTGAATGATAGACAATTATTATTACCTATGGATGAAACTAAAATAAAATCTTAAATCGTTCTTTAATCTATTTTCAAATTATATATCTTTAAAATCTATAATAACTTTATATTCCTCTTAAAAATAATTTGTAATGAGAAAGAAATATGTGAATGATAACAAAATATAATTATTTATGGCTGTAAAATATAAATTAATTAATTTTTATTATGTTAACAGCTTTTAAGGATATTTCAAATATTTTGATTTAAAAAGCTGTTTATCAGCACTTGTTTGCCAACCACATCAACAACTTTTTTTTTAACTTCAGCACTTTTATCCAAACGCATAACTGCTTATTTTAAAAATAAGTTTCAGCACTTTAAAAGTACTTTTTTAAAGCTGTTTTTATTAAGTTCATCCAAACGGGCCCTGAGGGACCCATCCTGCACCACTTTTGAGTTCTGGCTTTCGAACCAGAAGTATGAGGTGTGGCCTGGTCGGTCCCTGTTTTTCCAAGGATTCATCCACTTTTCGAACCTTCTCTAATTAGATAGAACCCTTTCATTCTTGTCAAATGGCCCGAAAACCCTTTGCCTCCATCGGAATCGTGCTTTGGATTTCTTTACCGAAAAGAAAAAGGATACCGGACAAAAACCCCAATTGAGGCCTTGAGGCCCGATAAAAAAAGACATAAAGAAAATCGAGTTCATTGAGCCGTAACCGTTCGGGCTTCCGTTCCTCCATAGGGTATGCTCCACTTTCCTCCCTAGGGTATGCTCCCCGGGGGCAGGCCTGGGCCTACCAGGCTTGACGCCCCTCTTTTCCAAGAGAAATTGCTTTGCAGGGATCATATTGTGAAGAAGATCATCAATAGTATAATGTAAAACCTAAAACCTTTTGCCGATCATTTTCTGGAATTTTTTTCCAAATAACGTACAACTCTGAATCCCTCCCAACAATGGAGGGTAACAAATAAGTTGGGCGGGAGACCAACCATATATATACAACAAAGGTGAGAAACTACAACAATGGAGGGTGTAACAAATAAGGTGGGAGGAGACCAACCACATATATACAACAAAGGTGAGAAAGTGCTAAAGCAGGAAGAAAAGACCATATTATATTTACTAATACTATGCATGAAACTAACATTCATATTCTTGTTCTACAATATTCTCCTCTTCACCAAACCCCTATCAAACTACTTAATTTTCTTCATCTTCTGTAAAAACCTTTATACATTGTTAGTTACTACCAACTGATAAAACATTCATTGTGATTTTCTTAAGCTAGCTATCTGTTGGACCATCCTAACTCTCGCTCATTTAAGGCATACACTTGCACTCGGATGGGTTCGAGATCAAATCCTCTAGTTCAAGAACAATCTCACTTTGATACTTATCTGTTTCTGCTCCATTCTCACAAATCATGTCATCCTCCATCAACTTCTCCCACAATATATAGTTCTCAGATACCATCTCCGGGCTGCTGTTATTTCCCTTGCCTTTTTGTTCCTCAACTGGACTATTCGACGATTCATCACAAGAGAAGAGTGTTTGTATCTCCGACTTAATTGTTGTGTACTCCTCTTGATTTTCATCACTACACAACCTTCTCTTCTTGGTCCCATTCTCAACCGTTGTTGTCTTCCCCTGTTTCACCTTTTCAATCAGATGTTGAACAAACATAGGGTTGTGGAACGTTTTCGCCAGGAAGATCACCATATACTTTTGTTTAATCTCACTATTCTGTAACCTCTCCTTCATAGTAGCTAAATAGTTATCAGTGCTCTCTTGTTGCTGTTTAAGCTTCAGAATTTCCATCTTCAAAGTGTTGTGATCCTTTTTCAGCTTTTCTATCTCTGCTGCTTCAGTTCCATCCTTGCAACAACCTCCTACCCAAGATTTTGCTCCTCCACCACCTCCTCCTCCTAGTTGAGGATACTGCTTTCTTCTCTTGATATTTATCAGCAAATGCTTTTTCCCTTTCTGAAAACCCTCATTTGCAAATTCCCATCTATCTGAATCAATTTTCCTGAAACGCTACAAATCCACAAAAAAAAATAAAAATACCACAATAGTCAAAAGATAAATCTAACATAAAAACAGTGGATGGAGATACAAGTCAGATATACCAAACCAATTCAGAACCCAATTATTAACCAAATTACAATTTCACAAAAGGAATTGAGTTTACTATTAAAATTAGAAGAAGCAGATGGTGAAAATGAAGTAGAAATTGGTTAATTAATTAAGGAAAATCAAGTACAAACTTACATAGGTATTGAGCTGGCGGATAAAGCTAGAGAAGTTGTTGTGCTTAAAATGTTTAGGTAGAAGATGAATTGAAAATTTGTGAGGATCCCAAACAACAAAGCTGTTTTGACTGTTACTCCATGAGATTATAGAGTCGGTATTTGGATCATCCACCATTTCAAACGTCTTCTTCAAAAACGGAGGTGGACCTACATCACGCAACCCATCCAAAGGCTTTGGTACTGAATCCCCAATAATGTCATCTTCATCATTAATAAATATAACTGGTTCTTCTTTCACCTCTACTACTACTCCACCATTAACATTCATCTCTTTCTCATTCACATCAATCAACATAGTTTTCTCCTCTTCCATTTGTTGATTACAGAATTGGGTTTCTATATATAGTTGGGTGAAGCGGTGAGCTCAGAGGTGTGTGGAAAACTGAGCAAATAACTAAAAGCAATGTGTAACGGACCGTTTCAGACCATCTTGCCATTTGTATCCTTTCATTTCTTTTTTCCACATCACTCACTCCCTCATTTTTTAACGAAATGTTTATTTCACCCACACTCCTTTATATATATATATATATATATATTTATTATAATATATATTCTTTTAATATTATATTACAAATGACACTCACTCCTTATTCATTCTGTCTACATTGTAATTTCAAAGAAAACTAATAGCGATTATGGTATTGAATAATTTAATTTTTTTTAATTAAATATCGAATTATTTTTAATTAAATACAAAAAACCTATATATATATATATTATATAATATTAGTAATTTAATTAATCTTTGACGTACATACACTAATAAAAGACTTCAAATTTATAAGCTATTAAATATAAAATAAAATATTTAATTAATTATATAAAACTCAGAGACTAATTTTGGGTGCATTTAAATATTTTTATTCATGGTTTAGGGTCTTAATAAATTAAAAGAAAAAGAAGCAAACTTTATCCAGTTATTTGAAAATCAAATAGAAACAAGAAAGGAGTAGTCAGTCAGGTGTCTGTGTTGGCAGATTGCTATGATAGTAGTGCAGGCTAACAGAAGCCACGTGGCATAAACTTTTATCCACTTTAAGCAGGACCACTACATTATGGGGCCCACAACCGAATGCTTAAAACTGGTGGGACCCAACTATCTTTGGCGATTTGGCCACAAACGTGGCTTGCTCGTATCACTGCCACCAAAGGAAGCTAGGACTATTCATACAATAAGTTTTTTTTTTTTATATATATATTTCTGTCTTTTTATTTTAAATATTGATTATATTCTTTAATTATATTTCTAATATATTAAAAATGTTACCAAACTATATCAACAAGAAATGAATAAAATAGGGGAACATAAGATACTTCTTATTAGTATATTCAAGATTTATAAATCTTCTTTATAATGAAAGAATTTTTTTTACTTATAGGAGATATCTAAAGGATTCTTAATTATATTGTAAAGGTAGGGACAATTTAAATGTATTAATAGTATAAAATAAAAATTAAATGGCGTTTTAAATTTAAATTGTTAGAAGTTTTATATAATTAATTTAATCTAATTTTCATATGATAATATAATCATTCTTATTTAAAATTATTTTTCATGAAAAATAATACTCTAAATATGTCAAAAAATTTCTAATAATCCCTTTATTTTTTGTGAAATGTGTACTTTTTCTACAAATAGTGTTCAATGTTTATTAAAAAATAATAACTTATAACCTATTATTATAAAAAAAAAATGAGGTCCCATAAATTGGGGACCCAAAGCACTTGTCTTTTTTTAACACTGCCGAGCCACCCCGCTTAAAAGGACTCCATATAACTAGACATTCACTATAATACAAATATGTTTATAACACTCCCCCTTGAATGTGGTAGATTATATGTCTTATTAAACCTTACGAGATAACACTCATTGAGAAAAAAATCTAGGGAAGAAAAAAACGTACGCATATCTAATAACGCATTATGGATGTCTCACTAAAAACCTTACAAGGAAAATTCAATGGGACAAAACCTTTTGAGAGAAAAAGAGTATATCACGTATTAACTCCCCCTAATGTGAACATCAATCTACATACTTGAATCTTCGTTTTTCAAGTTTGTGCACTATCTTGTTGAAAGTTGTAGTTGGTAGAGACTTCGTGAATAAATCAACTATAGTATTACTTGAACAAACATGTTGCATGTTGTTGACACCATTCTTGGGAGCTCATGTGTATAGAAAAGTTTTGACGAAATATATTTTCTTCCATCTCTTTTTATAAATCTTTCCTTCAAATAAAATTTTTGTGCAAGTTTCTTACTTCAACTTCTTTAAGAAAATAATCTATTGCTTGTTGAAAACTCTTCAAGAGTTTCAATTCAAGTCACCAACTTGCATGACAATACTTGTATGTGCTTTATGAATTTTGAATCTATTTAATTTTACGAGGATTATAATTAAGTTTTTAAAAACTTGTATATGCTCTAGATTTTGAACTCATTAGTTATTTTCATATCATTTTTGTCAGGTGACAATATTTAATATTAAATGTATGACATCTTCCAGTGCCTAGATTGCAAGTCAAATAAGCTTTATGCTTACCAACATGCATCATTTCACCTTTCACTTGTGGAGCACATTTTCTCCTTATTATGATAATTTTGATTCTTCAATCCTCCTCTTTTTTCAAGAATTATTTTATTTAGAATTTGATTAGTCTATCATGTTTCATGCATGTCGTAGACTCTATCTTTAAGGGACATTCAATAGGAATGTTTACAACTCTTGGATTGCTTCTAATCTCCTCCTAATGTTAGACAAAACTAATATATGTCTCAATCTTTTGGAGAATCTATCTTTGTGCATCATTGAATATCCATTGATTATATAGTACATATAAAAATGATCAGATGAAATATCTGGTCTTTGACCATAAATCAATTTGAAATAAAATTTAATCATAATTTATTAGTCTGATGCATACTACTATATTATATTTCAGACCGTGAAACTTTCTTCTCATAAGCAATGATTGACTATTTATTTGAGGAATTTAATGTCATATTAGCTTGGATATTTATCAAAATTTCGAGATGAATTATCTTGATTTCATAATCTGAAAGTTGTGCTCTTAACTTAATTATCTTGCACAAACAATTTTGCGAATGTCAATCTGCAAGTTGACAACAAACGAAGATGTGATAATATTATAGATTTAACATCTCGTATCTAGAATTAACTAAGGTTAAGCTAAGAAAAAAAAATCAAATTTGGAAATAAGTAAGGAAATCTGAAAAATTTCCAGATTTAAAAATTGAGTTTTGGACATTTTCAAATGACCATAATTTCCAACTCAGGAGGAGTTTGGATGATTTCTGTATATGGATGGAAAGCTCTTGGGAAGATCTTTCCAATAATGCCAAGTTTGCGAAATTCTGAGTTTGTATGAGGAAGACATGCCTTTCGAAAGTTGGGCTATTAAGTAGAGGAATTTCCAATCTGAATTTGTTAAGGGCGATTTGATCTTTTCCTAAATCAATTACTGAATTCGTTTTTGAGGTATTAAGTTGGGGTATAAGCTGATAACATTCAGTTTGCACATTTAAAAAATACATTAGGGTTTTGAAAGAAAGGAGAGAAGAGGAGAAAGAAGGAAAAGACGCAAGAACACCAAGAATTCGTTGCGAGGATTTCATTGGGTGAACCCTATCAGGTATGTAAGATCATTCGGTATTGGGTTATTTCAACACCCCCAATTTGATTCATTGCAGAAATTTAGAGTTATTTGAATTCAAATCTTGAAGTTCTTGATGAAAAGTATGAAGTTCTCGTTGGTTGACTTGTAGTTGATCTCTAGTAGTTTTGGTTCTTGTTTTTAGACTGTTTTTCTGATCTGAACTATTGGGTAATGAGTTAATTATTTATCCTAAGAGTTTCGGGTGGGATCCATGGAAGTTTGAAAAGGTTTAGAGATGAAAAACGAAGATGAAAGTTGGAGGTCCCGTCAGACGGCCCTTGGGACACCGCGCCTGCCAGAGCGCCTCAAGACAGGCTCTGTCAAACAGGCCCTAGCACGGCGCACCAGCCAGAGCGCCTCAGACCAGTGTTTGTCTGACAGGTCCTGGTGCCTCGCGCCTTTCAGAGCGCCCCGACCCCCCTGGAAATTCTATTCTTTCCCTATCTTTTGTACTAGTTCCTAAGTGATGTACCCTTCATTCCTAGTTGATTTCAACAATCTAAAGTACATCTAAACATCATGAAGTCATCCATAAATATGAGATAATGATTCTTGAATCTATAATCCAAATTATAGGGAAGTTAGGATCAAAGTTAAGAAAGTAAGAAGGCAAGTCTAAAGAGCAGTCAGAGGTGGACCAGCCTGAAGAAATGTACAGGAAAAGAGGTGCCAAATGCACCAGGTGTGCAACCCCAAGGAGAGGTTACCAATGTTGAGTTCTGGGAAGCTATACGGATGTTAAATCAAGTAGTAACCAACCAAATCAGGCAGCAAAGAGAAGTTCGACAATAAAGGGTTGATACCTTAAGAGTTCATGAGTTTCTGAGGATGAATCCTCCTAGTTTCACTGGATCAAGCACTACTGAAGATCTGGAAAACTTCGTGGAAGATTTGAAGAAAGTATTTGAGGTAATGCATGTGGTTGATGTGGATAGGGTTGAGTTGGCTGTTTATCAACTTAAGAGTGTTGCTAGAACCTGGTTTGATAAGTGGAAGGGTGGTAAAACTGAGGTGAACCACGTCCAAGTTGGGCTTATTTTGAAGAAGCCTTCTTGGAAATGTTCTTTCCTCGCGAACTGAAGGAAGTGAGGGTACATGAGTTCCTTACTTTGAAACAGGACTCCATGAGTGCTCATGAGTATCGGTTGAAGTTCACCCAACTATCTCGCTATGCACTGGAGATGGTTAAGGACATGAGGAGCAGAATGGGTATGTTTGTTGCCGGGTTGGGTCGTGCTTCAAGTAAGGAAGGTAGGGTTGCCATATTGATAGGTGAAATGGACATATCCAGGATGATGGTATATGTACAACAAGTTGAATAGGAGAATCTGAAGGACTGAGAGGAGTACCGAAACAAGAAGGCAAAGATTGGGAATGAGTCTGGCCAACAAAAAGTGGTTCAAGTCGACCACAGTTTCAGAAACAAAAAGGGCATGCACCATCATCTGCTAATGCACCTGCACCTAAAAATCGAGGTGAGCATAGCGGCCACAATTCACAGCACTTCAAGGCTAGACCAGCTCAATCTCAAGGTAGGGCTCCTGCATGTACCAAGTGTGGTAGACACCACCCAGGAAATTCTCATAATGGCCAAATAGGTTTCTACAAGCGTGGTCAAGAGTGTCACTTCATAAGAGAGTGCCCCAAGAATAATCAAGGTGGTGGAAATCTGGGCAATAGAGTCCAATCTTCATTAGTTGCTCCACCAGATAGGGATGCACCTAAAGGATCCACTTCTGGTACCGGAGGAGGGGCGAACCGTCGCTATGCAATCACTAGCCGCCAAGAGAAAGAGA